ATAATTTTTAAAAGGGAACGAGACAAATCCCGCTTGGTTTAAAAAATAAAAAACCCCCTGGGATTAAGAGGGGAAAAAGAAACCCTCTACTGCCTGGGTGTTTTGTGCCCCCCCTTTTTTGTGTTCTTGTCCTGCGGTGGTGTAATGCACATAGTGGGGGTGTGCGGTGTGTACGTGAGACTGCATTATGTTAATGAATCATTATACTGTATGTAAACTGTATGCATGTGCATGACCTCAGTCGGTTTCAATATTCTCTAATCATTATCATAGTCAATCATATCATCCTGGAAGCCATTGTCACAGTAGCTACTAGATATATGTTCCTGCAATGCCTCCGTAGAGTCTAAATAGACAGAGTGGTATTTATGTCATTGATGTTGACATCCTGGATGTTTTATTCTCTACAGTGCATGGTAAATGAAAACGTGTAGGAGTGTTTGTATTGTAATGTCATGAATGGTTGTCTGCTCGTGGTGTAAATAACCTCTTCACTCGCTCTTTAACATACTGTATGTGAAGAGTTAAATGTTTACAACTGCAGTCTATTTGTGTGTGTGTGTGTGTGTGTGTGTGTGTGTGTGTGTGTGTGTGTGTGTGTTCAGGGTTGTAAGTCGCTCTGGATAAGAGCGTCTGCTAAATGACTAAAATGTAATGTAAAATGTTATTTGAAAGAGAGTTAAATGCATATAAATATTGTTGTTTATCTTTGTCTGTATGTTTCTCTCATCTTTACAGTACAAACTATGTGTGTGTGTGTGTGTGTGTGTCTGTGTGTGTGTGTGTGTGTGTGTGTGTGTGTGTGTGTGTGTGTGTGTTCAGGGTTATTTAAAAGAGAGTTGACATACTCATGGTTTCTCTCTGTGTGTCTGCATCTTTGTGGGACTCATCTTTGTCCGTAAGATCTCTTATGCATACAGTGGGGTAAAAAAGTATTTAGTCAGCCACCAATTGTGCAAGTTCTCCCACTTAAAAAGATGAGAGAGGCCTGTAATTTTCATCATAGGTACACGTCAACTATGACAGACAAAATGAGAAAAAAAAAATCTGAAAATCACATTGTAGGATTTTTAATGATTTTATTTGCAAATTATGGTGGAAAATAAGTATTTGGTCAATAACAAAAGTTTCTCAATACTTTGTTATATACCCTTTGTTGGCAATGACACAGGTCAAACGTTTTCTGTAAGTCTTCACAAGGTTTTCACACACTGTTGCTGGTATTTTGGCCCATTCCTCCATGCAGATCTCCTCTAGAGCAGTGATGTTTTGGGGCTGTCGCTGGGCAACACAGACTTTCAACTCCCTCCAAAGATTTTCTATGGGGTTGAGATCTGGAGACTGGCTAGGCCACTCCAGGACCTTGAAATGCTTCTTACGAAGCCACTCATTCGTTGCCCGGGCGGTGTGTTTGGGATCATTGTCATGTTGAAAGACCCAGCCATGTTTCATCTTCAATGCCCTTGCTGATGGAAGGAGGTTTTCACTCAAAATCTCACGATACATGGCCCCATTCATTCTTTCCTTTACACGGATCAGTCGTCCTGGTCCCTTTGCAGAAAAACAGCCCCAAAGCATGATGTTTCCACCCCCATGCTTCACAGAAGGTATGGTGTTCTTTGGATGCAACTCAGCATTCTTTGTCCTCCAAACACGACGAGTTGAGTTTTTACCAAAAAGTTCTATTTTGGTTTCATCTGACCATATGACATTCTCCCAATCCTCTTCTGGATCATCCAAATGCACTCTAGCAAACTTCAGACGGGCCTGGACATGTACTGGCTTAAGCAGGGGGACACGTCTGGCACTGCAGGATTTGAGTCCCTGGCGGCGTAGTGTGTTACTGATGGTAGGCTTTGTTACTTTGGTCCCAGCCCTCTGCAGGTCATTCACTAGGTCCCCCCGTGTGGTTCTGGGATTTTTGCTCACCGTTCTTGTGATCATTTTGAACCCACGGGGTGAGATCTTGCGTAGAGCCCCAGATCGAGGGAGATTATCAGTGGTCTTGTATGTCTTCCATTTCCTAATAATTGCTCCCACAGTTGATTTCTTCAAACCAAGCTGCTTACCTATTGCAGATTCAGTCTTCCCAGCCTGGTGCAGGTCTACCATTTTGTTTCTGGTGTCCTTTGACAGCTCTTTGGTCTTGGCCATGGTGGAGTTTGGAGTGTGACTGTTTGAGGTTGTGGACAGGTGTCTTTTATACTGATAACAAGTTCAAACAGGTGCCATTAATACAGGTAACGAGTGGAGGACAGAGGAGCCTCTTAAAGAAGAAGTTACAGGTCTGTGAGAGACAGAAATCTTGCTTGTTTGTAGGTGACCAAATACTTATTTTCCACCATAATTTGCTAATAAATTCATTAAAAATCCTACAATGTGATTTTCTGGATTTTTTCTCCTCAATTTGTCTGTCATAGTTGACGTGTACCTATGATGAAAATTACAGGCCTCTCTCATCTTTTTAAGTGGGATAACTTGCACAATTGGTGGTTGACTAAATACTTTTTTTCCACACTGTATAAGGATGCGGGAACCATAGAAATAGAATCACTAGAAAGAGACATCCATTACAGACCAATTGACCTGAATTGAGATTCCTGTTTATAGTCATTCTATTTATATGGCTGGAACAACAAATATTGTATACGCATAATAAAAATAAAAAATCCCAAAACAGTGGAGAGTCCTTGCCCCTCCAGGTAGATGCTGAGCATTGAATGTAGATGGTCAAATCAAATTTGATTAGTCGCGGACACATATTTTGCAGATGTTATCGCAGGTGCAGCAGGTGCAGTTTCCAACAGTGCAGTAATACAACAATACAAAATCCAAAAAATAAACAAAGAAATGAATGGTCCATGCATGGTGTGTGTTGGTGTGAGACAGGCAGACTGTTCTAGCTTTATAGTTCTAGGTCTAGTCTACCTACCCAGCTCTCTGCTTTTTAGACTTGTCTGAGATGCCATCTCGAGACATGAGCTTGTTGAAGACCACAATACCAATCAGCATGTTCACCTGAAGAGAGAGAGAGCCAGAGAGCAGAGAGAGAGAGAGAGAGAGAGAGAGAGAGAGAGAGAGAGAGAGAGAGAGAGAGAGAGAGAGAGAGAGAGAGAGAGAGAGAGAGAGAGAGAGAGAGAGAGAGAGAGAGAGAGAGATAGTAAATAATCAGATTCATGTCCAGTTTTATTGCCATTTGATTCAGGTTTCTTGACAAGGCTCTTCAAACTATAATCACTAACGGACAGGGGGGTGTAGTAGAAGTGGGCAGATTGTGTCTTGAGTCTCCGCTCCTCTGTACCAACCGTGTCCTGTTCTGGACAGGGGTCTATTAAGCCTACTTACAGCTGTGATCCCTGACCCACTGGTTCACATTACACACACACACACACCCACGCACCCAGCCAAGTTGCACTTTTCCATTCGGAAATCCTGCCCATCTGGGAGATTTTCCACGCCAGTGACATGTCCCTCTTAATCCTGATCTCGTTTGCTTTCCCTCTCTCCTTCTCTCCCTCCCCTCTCTCCCTTCTCTCTTTCTTTCACTCTCTCACTTGACCCTAACCTTGTCCTACCAATCCAACTTGAATCCCTCATCTCTCTTTGTGTCTGTCTACTCCCACTGCCTGCCATAGAAAGCTTGTTTATTCACCTTGAGAAAAGAAAGGAGTTCAGAAAGGAGATTAGTGATCTTTACTGCTGGACCTCCGTCTATTTATGATTTAATGTTTTTCCATTCTAACCTTCATTTCTACTGCATTGATACATCTGAAACATGTATTTTCTTGTCTTTCAATAGTAATCGATATCTCTACGGCACTGAGCACTTCAATGATCTTTCATTTTCCACCATGAATCTGCAATATTTTATTTGAGATTTTCATGTTTTCTATGTTGTTCGATGCTTTAATCTGTCTTTACTTCCTGTTGACATTCCTGTCATGTCCGGTCCCATTACCGTGGGAGACGGCGGTCTCCATCCCCGTTATTTGCCGAAGGCTAGATTAATTATTTTCTTCATTAATTAGACGGTCATCCTGGGGGAGGCCTGTGTTCCTCTGATGTACCCCATCTCAATTACATCTGTTTGTTTGAGTGGGCTACCCGAACACAACACGAGGTGAGCGGGGAAAAACACTAGTTAGGGATACACACACACACATACACACACACACCGACCCACCCACCCACACACACACACACACAGTTGTAATACAGTGTCTGTGTTCATCTGGATAATTGATAGAGTGTGTATTGACACAGGGATTCACGCAAGCTGCAGTCACTAATCTTACAAAGAGCCATACAGTAGAGCTATCCTTTATTAACAAAGCCACAGAGGCATTCTCACTCTGGCACTCTCTCTCTGTGAAGTACAATATTGTTATTGTTTTAATAAAGGTCTATCAACAAAATATAGAGGAGTACCTTGGAGTTTTAGAAGTATTACCAAGAGGACCCTTGCTTCCAATGAGCATCTTTCTACCTATATTATAACAACTGAAGTTGCGTAGCACAGAAATATCTATACAATGTTCTCTTAGTGCTATATTGACTCTGATGAATATACTGTATCTATGTCTAAAGAAGTGAACTCAGGTTGAAAAGGTTGAAGGATGCTTCTAAGTACCAGCACACAGTTAGTCAAATTAAGAGGTAAATGTTTTGTAGCCCCCAACATAGTGATGCCAGTGTGGCATGGTAGAATGTGAAGAGACAGCTAGGTGGTAGAATTGTGTAGTGGCACGTTGGAGAATGGTTTCTCTGTCAATTTTCTCTTCCATTGTTGTCTGACACGGGTTACTCTGAAAGAAACCACTAGTGGCAAATAAACAAATACATGAATCACTTTGTTGTGTTTATATTCCTCCTGTCCTCCAGTGATGTAAGCCTGATGAGGACCTAGAGCGGTTGCTACTTTATGTCAACCCTCAGGGGCCATCTAAACAGTGTGTAGTCCTAACCCCTTTCTGACCTGTACGAAAGGCATGAGAAATAGCTAATGGGAGGATGATAAATTCAGAGGCAGAACAAGCCTGCCGACAGAGAGCCAGACTGACCAATGAGAACAGGGATAAAAGAGGGTACCCACCAATACGATGACGGCTGCAGGGCCAACAAAGGCGTAGAGAAGCCCGCCTTCCAAGGACAGCCAACAACTAAAATAAGACAGAGAAAAAAAAACATTATTATGAATGCAAAACTTCTTTAGTACATAAGCCCTGTTCTGTAAAATGTAAAATGTCTGTGTTTCATTTTCCAAATGACTAGTCCCTATGTGTGAGAAGCCACTTTGCTATTTTTCTTCAGGGGTTCCTAAGACTTCCAAAGCAGGCAATTAAAACCTATATTTACTTTATGTAGGGGATCAAATTCATACCCTTTGACTTATTCCACATTTTGTTTTGTTACATCCTGAATTCGAAATAGATTAAATAGATTTTTTCTCACCTATCTACACACAATACCCCATAATGCAAAGTCAAAACATGTTTTTAGAAATGTTTGAAAATGTATAAAAAATGAAATACAGAAATATCTCATTTACATAAGTATTCACACCCCTGAGTCAATACATGTTAGATTCACCTTTGGCAGTGATTACAGCTGAGAGTCGTTCTGGGTAAGTCTCTAAGAGATTTGCACACCTGGATTGTACAATATTTTCTAAATTCTTCAAGCTCTCTCAAGTTGATTGTTGATCATGGCTAGACAGCCATTTTCAAGTCTTGCCATAGATTTTCAAGTCGATTTAAGTCCAAACTGTAACTAGGCCACTCAGGAAAATGCAATGTCATTTTGGTAAGCAACTCCAGTGTATATTTGGCGTTGTGTTTTAGGTTATTGTCCTGCTGAAAGGGGAATTTGTCTCCCAGTGTCTGTTGGAAAGCAGACTGAACCAGATTTTCCTCTAGGATTTTGCCTGTGCTTAGCTCTATTCCGTTTATTTTTTATCCTAAAAAAACTCCCTAGTCCTTGCCGATGACAAGCATACCCATAACATGATGCAGCCACCACCATACTTGAAAATATGAAGAGTGGTACTCAGTGATGTGTTGTGTTGGATTCGCCCCAAACATAACACTTTGTATTCAGGACATAAAGTGAATTTCTTTGCCAACTTTCTTGCAGTTTTACTTTAGTGACTTACTGCAAACAGGATGCATGTTTTGAAATGTTTTATTCTGTTCAGGCTTCCTTCTTTTCACTCTGTCATTTAGGTTAGTATTGTGGAGTAACTACAATGTTGTTGATCCAGCCTCAGTTTTCTCCTATCACAGCCATTAAACTCTGTAACTGTTTTAAAGTCACCATTGGCATCATGGTGAAATCCCTGAGTGGTTTCCTTCCTCTATGGCAACTGAGTTAGGAAGGACGCCTGTATCTTTGTAGTGACTGGGTGTATTCATACACCACCCAACGTGTAATTAATAACTTCACCATGCTCAAAGGGATATTCAATTTTTTTAAATATTTTTTCTACCCATCTAGCAATAGGTGCCCTTGTTTGCGAGGCATTGGAAAACCTCCCTGATCTTTGTGGTTGAATCAGGGTTTGAAATTCACTGCTCGACTGAAATACCTTATAGATAATTGTATGTCTGGGTACAGAGATGGGGTAGTCATTCAAAAATCATGTTAAACCCTATTATTGCACAATGAGTCCATGCAACTTATGTGACTTGTTAAGCAAATGTTTACTAAACTTATTTAGGCTTGCCATAACAAAGGGGTTGAATATTTATTGACTCAAGACATATCAGCTTTACATTTTGTATTAATTTGTAGAAAAATCTAAAAACATAATACCACTTTGACATTATGGGGTAGTGTGTGTAGGCCAGTGTATATCATTTTTAAATTCAGGCTGTAACACAACAAAATGTGGAAAAAGTCAAGGGCTGTGAAAACTTTCTGAAGGCACTGTACATATTACCCAACGTGCACTGCAAATCACATGACGAAACAACATTTGTTGACATCCTTGATGTTTGAGTCTCTACAGTGAATGGTAAATGGAAACTTGTGGGAGTGTTTGTATAGTGGAGTTCAAGTCATTGGTCTAGATCCAATGAAAGGTCATGAAGGGTCGTCTGCTCGTGCTGTAAAAAACCTCTTCACTCGCTCTTCAACATACTGTATGTGAAGAGTTAAATGTTTACAACTGCAGTCTATTGGTGTGTGTGTGTGTGTGTGTGTGTGTGTGTGTGTGTGTGTGTGTGTGTGTGTGTGTCCGTAACCACTCTCAAATTCAAATGTAACTACTCTTAAATTCAAATGTAACCACTCTTAAATTCAAATGTAACCACTCTCTAATTCAAATGTAACCACTCTCTAATTCAAATGTAACCACTCTTTAATACAAATGTAACCACTCTCAAATTCAAATGTAACCACTCTCAAATTTAAATGTAACCACTCTCGAATTCAAATGTAACCACTCTCAAATTTAAATGTAACCACTCTCAAGTTCATAGACAGAGCTATGGATGCAAGGACTGACCATCCATGATATCAAAATTATAGTTTTAACCATGTTATGAGGTTATACAGTGCTTGTTTACATTTACATTGTTTACAAACATTGGAGAAAAACAACCTAATATTTTGGGTTCTGATGGGGTACGACAGTTGAACTAAGCTAATGGGGCATTTGTAAGTTATATTCTTCAAGAATCAATAGGTATATATAAATAATTTATAAATCTCAGTTACCATTGAAAAGTGCACTGCAAATCACATGACCATACTCAGATACACAGAGCACTAATTATGAAAAGCCATATTGGGTATGGAGTGAAGACATCACAGGTCATAGGCAAAGGGTGAAAGGTGAAAGTTTGTACTCACTAGCTGGGTGTACCGTAACCTCTGGCTCTAGTGAAACCTACTGACACAGCAACCACCAAGGCTGGGAGACCTGAAAGAGAAAGAGAGAGAGAGAGAGAAAGAGAGAGAGAGATGTATTATCTATTTCACTTGCTTTGTCAATGTAAACATATGTTTCTCATGCCAATAAAGCCCTTTGAATTGAAGTGATTCAAGCGAGAGAGAGAGAGAGAGAGAGTAGAGAGAGAGAGAGAGAGAGAGCGAGATAGAGATAGAGTGGGCGAGGAGTTGGAGAGGAGGAATGGAGAGCCCGAAATAGAGCGCAGACATCTACATATAGTAAGAGCTAACTATATAAATACACGTTACATAGATAGAGGGATGATAGTAGGCGCTGCTTATGGTGCGATTCTCGGCTGCGAGTCTGCTATTCGTCTCTGGGCAGTTGGATGCTCGCTTCGAGAGCATCTGGTGTGCTGATGATGCTACGGCGCGCTCTTCTCTTGCTCGGGTCTCGCTGGCTTTGTGTGTTCTCTTCTCTCTCTGCTCTCGCTGCTGCTGGTGCCCTCGCTCTCGGGGTCTCCTGTGGGCTCGCTTCTTTCGGCTCTGCTTCTGCGCCGCTGCTCGTGTCGTCTGGGCTCGCTTCTCGTGCTGCTTCTCGCGGCGCTGTGCTGCGGGCGCGCGCTGCTCTGCTGCTCGGCTGCTGGGCGCGGGTGCTCGCGGCCGGCTGCTCGGCGGAGGCTGCTGGGGGCGTTGCTCTCGGCTCTCTCTGAGAATTCCCAAATCTCTCCAAGAGAGAGATGTATCCCCTTGACAATACATCAACAAAATGTGCTATTTCCGACAACATTGAAATTCAGTTAGTGCAACAACATGTAACTTAATAATAATATAATAATAATAATAATATGCCATTTAGCAGACGCTTTCATCCAAAGCGACTTACAGTCATGCGTGCATACATTTTTGTGTATGGGTGGTCCCGGGGATCGAACCCACTACCTTGGCGTTACAAGCGCCGTGCTCTACCAGCTGAGCTACAGAGGACATGTAACGTGCAACTGTAGACTGATATACACACTGACATAATGTGGACTTTTCCTCCTCTCTTCACTCTCTTTTAGTTAATGGATGTATCTAGGGCTATACCAGGGACTAGCCCGAGGCAGGAGAAGTAGGCCTAGTATGGATCAAAGTTCACTACTAAGGGTGATGCAGCCTTGGTTAGCGTACTCTGTAGGTTCCCTATCCAGTGGATGCTGTTTTCTTCTCACTCTACGACAAGAGGACTCTCGTCTGTGGTGCATTATGCTACCTTGAGCCAGTGTGTGTCCATGTTTGTGTGTGTGTGTGTGTGTGTGTGTGTGTGTGTGTGTGTGTGTATATGAGTGTGTAGTGGAGGGAGGTGGGGTCAGTAAGTAATGTATTAATTAAGTATATCAATTATGCTTTCCCTCGTGTGTGTGTGTGTTTGTGCGTACGAGTGTGTTTGTGTGTGAGATAGAGAAAGTGTGTGTGTCTGTGTGTGAGTGTGTGTCAAAAAAAGATGTTGGGTCCGTAATGAGCTTGACTCTGAAATATTCATGTAATTAACAAAGCTGTGATAATGCCAGCAAATGAAATGCAATTAGAAAATCCCACATCAAAAAAAAGAGATGTGGTGTGGCTGGGTGGGTGAGGTGCTAACGTTACATAAATATGATGCCTTTTCAAACACAAACACACACCACACACACTCCCTCCCTCCACTGCACAATCTGCCGTTACCATGGTGACTGATTTCCATCAGTTTTGAGGGAAAATTGCAACTACTAGGGACGTATCCCTGATAAGCTGTTCTCCTCCCTCTCCTCCATTCCCTCCCTCCTCCACTCATTCCCTTTAATACACGTTTCATGTCTTCTCAATCTATGTGATTTTATAGCATCCATGCATCCCAGCATTGCTATGGCTGAATCCCAAATGGCACCCTATTCCATATTCCCCCTGGTCAAAAGTAGTGTACTAAATATGGAATAGGGTGTCATTTGGGACCTAGCCTATATCCGCTAAAGGCATCAGTGACTTAATGGACCAGATAGGTGGATGGATAAGGGATAAGAGCAGAGGATGAATGGGAGCAGGGATTCCATTGCTTGTAATTGCTAGGTTCTATCTCCCTGGATCTTGCCTCTGTCGGCAAGATGTTATCCTATAGCATTTCTTATCCTCTGTCATCTCCTTTAGCAAGGCATGAGGTTGTTGTACAGGAGATGCATTCAACAGGACACAGACTGACTGTACAGGGTAGCAGATTTGAAATGATCAGAATCATTTCTCGACTTAATGTATGTGGAATGGGAAGACGGAAGTTATTGTGAACTTTCAACTTTATTACAGTATGGAGACCCTGTATGGTTGAGATATGTTGTATGGGTTTATATGTGTGTTTACGTTCGTGAGTGTGTGCGTGCATGTGTGTGTATGCCTGTGTGTGTGTACCTACCCCAGCCCAGGCACAGGAAGCGTTTGCGTATGAGGCGTGTCCTCATCTTGCCAATCACAGCCAGGTAAGACTGCCACGCCTCCGTCAGTACCCAGCAGAACGATGCCAAGAAGAAGAAATGAAGGAACGCAGCAGTCACAGTACACAGGCCCTGTAAAGAGAAAGAGAGAGAGAGAGAGAGAGAGAGAGAGAGAGAGAGAGAGAGAGAGAGAGAGAGAGAGAGAAAGAGCGAGAGAGAGAGAGAGAGACAGAGACAGAGACAGAGACAGAGAGAGAGAGAGAGAGAGAGAGGAGAGAGAGAGAGAGAGAGAGAGATAGAGAGAGAGAGATAGAGAGAGAGAAGTCAACGTGAGATAGACATAGACAGAGAGAGATAGAGAGAGAGAGAGAGACACAACAACAACACAATTAGACCCAAACAAATCATGAGAAAAAAAAAGAGAATTACTTGACACATTGGAAAGAACAAACAAAAAAACAGAGCAAACTAGAATGCTATTTGGGCCCTAAACAGAGAGTACACAGTGGCAGAATACCTGACCACTGTGACTGACCCAAACTTAAGGAAAGCTTTGACTATGTCCAGACTCAGTGAGCATAGCCTTGCTATTGAGAAAGGCTGCCGTAGGCAGACCTGGCTCTCAAGAGAAGACAGGCTATGTGCACACTGCCCACAAAATGAGGTGGAAACTGAGCTGCACTTCCTAACCTCCTGCCAAATGTATGACCATATTAGAGACACATATTTCCCTCAGATTACAGCGATCCACAAAGAATTCGAAAACAAACCCAATTTTGATAAACTTCCTTATCTACTGGGTGAAAAACCACAGTGTGCCATCACAGCTGCAAGATTTGTGACCTGTTGCCACAAGAAAAGGGCAACCAGTGAAGAACAAACACCATTGTAAATACAACCTATATTTATGTTTATTTATTTTCCCATTTGTACTTTAACTATTTGCAAAATTGTTACACACTGTTATTACATATATACATTTGAATTCTTTATTCTTTTGAATCTTCTGAGTGGGAATGTTACTGTTAATATTTATTGTTTTTTCACTTTTTGTTTACTATCTATTTGACTTGCTTTTGGGAAAGTTAACATAAAGTTTCCCTGCCAATAAAGCCCTTAAATTGAATTTGAATTGAGAGGCGAAGATAGGAGAGAAGAGAGAGGAGGAGAGAAGCGGGTCCGAGGAGAGAGCCAAAAAGCAGGAAATCCCCGAGAGCGCCGGGTGCCTCCTCTCTCTCCGTCGTCTCTCTCTCCCCTCTCCTCTCTCTCCTCTACTACTCCTCTCTCTCTCTCCCCTTTGTTTTTTTTGTTTTTGGGTCACCCCCCACCATCCAGGTGGGATAGTTGACCGAGTGACAGAGAATGATGAAGGTGTCAGAAGGAAGAAACAGATAAACGAGTGGGAAGGTAGAAGTTATAAACAACAACAACAGTTCTTCAACAATGACAGAACAGAGGTGAGAAATAATCTACCTAAAAAAGGAGAGTTTTGACACATGATTGATGCTCTTAAAAATAGTGTACTAGAATAGATGAACAATCGTACCATTTGTAACGTGACTATAACTGAACTAATGGCCAGTGTGTGTGTGTGTGTGTGCGTGCGTGTGTCCTGTTCTCACCTTGCCGAGTGTCTGGGACTGTCCAACCAGTATCAACATGTTGGAGGCCAGGATGGAAAGACAGAAATTCACCAAGATGATAGACCTCTCCGAACGAATATACCTGAGAGAGACAAAGAGAAAGACAGGCAGAAAGGAGGAAGAGCAGGAAGAAGAGAAAGAAGGAAGGAGGAAAGAGGGAGAACCAGATGTGAAACAATGAAGTAGAACTGATGGACTGATTAATTCCTGAACATGGTCATTTGATTACTCTGCCTGTCTGCCGTCTGCTCTGGATCAGCCTACTGTTACACTACTGGTGTCAGTCTCTCTCTCTCTCTCTCTCTCTCTCTCTCTCTCTCGTCTCTCTCTCCTCTCTCTCTCTCTCATCTCTCTCTCTCTCTCTCTCTCTCTCTCTCTCTCTCTCTCTCTCTCCTCTCTCCTCTCTCTCTCCTCTGCTCATCAGTCTCTCTTCTCTCGATCCTCTCTTCTCCCCTCATCTCTCTCTCCCATCTCTCTCCCTCTCGTTCTCCCATCCTATCTCGTCATCTCCTTCTCTCGTCTCTCTTCTCTCTCGGTCAGTCTCTCCTCTCGACTCTTTCTGTCTACCACTGATGTCAGCCTCTCTCACACACAGTTAATCCCCCCAGTCTGAGAGTCTGGCTGCGCCTTCTCCCGTTTGTTCTCCATTAGGCCTAATTGGAGTTCTGGAGTGGACTGCTCCACTGTCGAGCCAACCCGGGATTTTCTCCCCCTCGCTTGATCTCTCATGGTAAGAGTCTGCCGAAGAATGTGTGCAGTCTGCAGAAACACGTCTCCTCTAACAGAAATAGACTTGTGAAGACTGGCAGTGACTCGGGGGTGTAGCCCCATGCAGGGATGTGTGGTTGTTTGTGAGAGAGAAAGTGTGTGTTTTTGTGTGTGTGTGTGTGTGTGTGTGTGTGTGTGAGAGAGTTTGTGTGAGAGAGACAGAGTGTGTTTTTGTGTGTTTGTCTGTGAGAGAGAGAGAGAAAGTGTGTGTGCGTGTGTGTTTGTAAAAGATAGAAAGAGAGAGAGGTTGTGTGTGTGTACGTATAAGCGTGTGTGTGTGGGAGAGAGAGAAAGTGTGTGTGCGTGTGTGTTTGTAAAAGATAGAAAGAGAGAGAGGTTGTGTGTGTTTACGTATAAGCGTGTGTGTTTGTGTGAGAGAGAAAGTGTGTGTGCGTGTGTGTGTGTGTGTGTTTGCTCACCTCCAGAAGGCAGCATAGATGAGCAACAAGATGAGCAGAGCGCTGCAGGAGACCCCACAGCCCACCATGAGGGGCACAGAGGGCATACTGGACGGACCCATTTCCTGCAGAGAGAGAGAGAGAGAGAGAGAGAGAGAGAGAGAGAGAGAGAGAGAGAGAGAGAGAGAGAGGAGAGGGAAGGGGGGGGCAGAAATAGAGGGTTAGTAACATTTCCGGCCTTTGGTCTCTGGCCCTAATACGCTGGGTCACAGATCATTAATCGACTCTTCTTTCCTCTGTTCCATTTTCACACTCCCTCCCTCCATCTGTACATCTTCTCACCTGTCCCACCCAACATGCTGACTCCATTCTCTGAACCGTTCTATGTACGCATCCCAAACGGAACCCTATTCCCTATATAGTAATGCACTACTTGTGACCAGAGCACTATGGGTCTAGTCAAAAGTAGTGCACTATTAAAGGAATGGGATGCAGTCTCTGTCGTATGTCTACCTCTATCTAGAAAGGTCAGCACAGTTTGTTGATCTTTGATCTTGAAAGTAATCTCTTGTCCCTAGTCCGATATGGATAACACAACTATACAACTGACCTATAGTGGATCAGCTGATTAAGAGGATTGTTTAATCTGTTTACAGTCTACACTCAGTTGCCCTGTCTATTGAGCTTTATTTACTTTATGTGAAGACTTAGTGTGTGTTCCAAATGGCACCCTATTCCCTATATAGTGCACTACTTTTGACCAGAGCCCATATGGGACTTAGATAATGAGATCCTGAGGATGGTATTGCAGTGCACTGCAACTGTAGTTAAGTATCATGTAAACTGTATGGATGTTAATACAATATATGGAATCATGTAGTAACCAAAAAAGTGTTAAAAAAATCAAATTATATTTTATATATGAGATTCTTCAAATAGCTACCCTTTGCCTTGATGACAGCTTTGCATTCCTGTGGTGGTCCTCATGAGAGCCAGTTTCATCATAGCGCTTGATGGTTTTTGCGACTGCACTTGAAGAAACTTTCAAGTTCTTGAAATGTTCCGTATTGACTGACCTTCATGTATTAAAGTAATGATGGACTGTCGTTTCTCTTTGCTTATTTGAGCTGTTCTTGCCATTAATATGGACTTGGTCTTTTACCAAATAGGGTTATCTTATGTATACCCCCCCCCCCCCCCCCCCCCCCCACCTTGTCAAACACAACTGATTGGCTCAAACAAATTAAGTAGGTAAGAAGTTCAACAAATTTACTTTTAAGATGGCACACCTGTTAATTGAAATGCATTCCAGGTAACTACCTCATGAAGCTGATTGAGAGATTGCCAAGAGTGTGCAAAGTTGTCATCAAGGTTGGCTATTTGAAGAATCTCAAATATAAAACATATTTAGATTTTTTTAACACTTTTTTGGTTACTACATGATTCCATATATTGTATTAACATCTATACAGTTTACATGATACTTAACTACAGTTGCAGTGCACTGCAATACCATCCTCAGGATCTCATTATCTAAGTCCCATATGGGCTTGATTCCATCTGTGTTATTTCATAGTGTTGATGTCTTCACTATTATTCTATAATGTAAAAAATACTGAAAATAAAGTAAAACCCTTGAATGAGTAGGTGTGTCCAAACTTTTGACTGGTGCTGTACATCAAAAAATGAAAAAAGAACTGGATGCAATGCTTGCTTACCATTAAAAATGCATTGTTTTATTTAAGCAAGGTTAAAATATTAATGTTTCAGCCTTCAATGGCTTCTTATTGTACCGAGAGAGAGAGAGAGAGAGAGGAGAGAGAGAGAGGAGAGAGGGGGGAGAGAGAGGGGAAAAAGGAAAAAGGGGGGGAAGGGGGAAAGGGAAGGGGGGGGAAAAAAAGAAGGGGGAAAAAAAAACCCCTTTCCTCTCCCCCAAAAGGGGGCCCCTTTTTCCTTTTCGGGGGGGGCCGGGGGGGGGGGTGTCGGGGGGGGGGGGGTCCGGGGGGGGGGTTGGGTGGTGGTGTGTTGGGGTGCCCCAATAAGGAATCCAAATGAATCCCGCACGGGGGCCCCAAAAAGGTGAAATCAAAAATCTTTGTAAAAAATCCTTTCCTAAAGGAAGGGGGGAAAAGAGAAAAACAGAAAGAGGTGGTAAAGGGGTTTCTGAGCCCCTTTTTGGGACAAAGGGAAAATCTTTTAAAACCGGGGGCAAAAGAGAGAAAACCAGTGATCCGTAAAAAAAGAAAAGAGAAAAATGAAGGTAGTGATTGTTTGATTTTGTGTTTTTTGGGGGTTGAAGATTTTGGTTTGGGTTTTGATTTCTGTGTTGTGGGGTTGAAGATATGGATTGTTTGATTTCTGTGTTGTGGGGTCGAAGATATGGATTGTTTGCAGTTTAGTGTGTGAGGTCAGCTTTGGCTCAAACACACAAAAAACCACCCCAACACAAAACAAAACACAACCACACACCCCCAACACACAAACACACAACACACGAAACCCCACACTTTTCCTTGACCCACCCCCAAGTAAGCAAACGATAACATTCAAAACACCCCCCACACACACACGGAAACTTGTTTTTTGTCAGCATGTTTTCAAGCACTTTCAGTACAGAGCAAAAACTGTGTTGATGATGATGCATTTTGTGTCATATGATAGTTTTGGAGTGAACTATCCCTTTATGGTGGAGAACACACACAATGATATCCCAGGGAGACATCAGCCCTAGTTAAAAGGCAAGGATAAAAGTCATCAGGACCGTAATCTCAGAGTGGTGTTGTTCTATTGGCAGGGATGAGGTGGAAGGTAGCTGGTTAGTAGTACTCTATCTATCACTTGGAGCTAATGCAAAACCCCACCATGAAGCCAAGCCTGCAACACACACACACACACACAACACACACACATATCCCCAGAGGAGAGTGTTTGTCCTTCAGACTGTTTGCTACAGACACTCTTAACATGCAGGGCAGGTCCGTCCTCAGGGGCAAGACTCAGCTTTAACTATGGAAGTGTGTGTGTGTGGTGTGGTGTGTGTGTGTGTGTGTGTGTGTGTGTGGTGTGTGTGCATGTGTGTGTTTCCGACAGTATCTGGGGATCTATAATGTCTGCTAATCCGCCTAAGGTTCCATGATAGAACATTGACACACACACACACGCACGCACAATTCACACAGACACATACACACACCAGACATTTCAATGCATCCGTCCTTCACACGTCCAGAAGGGTGGAGCCTCTGGCAATGTTCCCTTCGCTTTCATTGTCTTCCTCACATTCGCTCCTTCATTCCTCCTCTGCCAATCAACCTTTTCTTTCCATCTCTCCCTTCTCTGTTTCTCATGCTCTCCCTCTACTCATGGGTTACACCTCCGTCACTCGGTCGCGTCGTTGCCAATGTTATCAACATTCTACAGATGCTGCAGCATATTGATGTCTGACTGATGGTTAATGCACCAAAAAACTCTGAATGGGGGCTAATGACTGTTTCGTCACATTTACACTATAGGGGGCTGGAAATCCGATGACATTGCTAAAGTGGCTATCATTATCATGAGAAATGGCAATGTTGCCATGAGCAGTGAAGTCTGTCAGAAATAGAATTTCAGTGCTCCCCTCAATCTTAGCTAGCTACTGTAGCTAAAGTTACACTGCATCTAAAGTCAATCTGGAGACATCACAACAACGGCAAAAGCGTGTCCTACTAATCATTTGCCTCTTTTTGAAATGTCATCGTGTTTCCAAGCCACAGTAATGCATCTTAGACTAAATCTTCATCAGCAACCATTGAGACTAAATGCTCAGCTGTGCATCAGTCCTAAAACGAACGTTCAAAACAATATTGTGATGAAATGTGCAACCCTTGAATACCCTTCTCAACCTCTCTTTCTTTCTCTCCTATCTGTCTGTTTGACTCCATCATTCACTCCAATACAATTTCCGTGGCTTTTAATTAAAGAGATAGATCAACTGCATAATGTGAATAGCTCACGACACACACACTATCCTGGTGAGAGCGGGACCAGAGGGAAGACAGACTAAACTCATACAACACAACTCCCATTAATACTGATTGTAGGTTTCTCTCCTCTCTTAACTCTCCCCTCCCCCTCTCCCCTGGACATCCAGTACTTCTAAATCCACACCTAATATACAGAATAGAACTTTTAATTAATACAAAGATAAAGGGTAATCATACAGGCAGAAACAAACAAAATCTGCGTGAGTATACTAAGTATATCAAAATCACAATTGGGTATCTCACACATATATAAACAATCATGGGTATCTATCAAAGAGCCTAAAGAGTCATCTCTCCTTACTAACCCTCTCCCTCCTGGTATAACTCCTCATTCCCCTCTCCCACCTCCTCCACAATCCAGGTCTCCTCCACTCTCCATGGTCTTCCCTCCCCTCCACCCTCTCCCTGGTCTCTCGCCTTCCCCCCACTCTCACTGGTCTCTCTCCTTCCTTACCCTCTCTGGTCTCTCTCTTCTTCCTCTGGTCTCTTAATTCCCCATCTAAGGTCTACTATCATTCTTCCTCCCCTGGTCTCTCTCCTCCTTCCTCTCTCCTGGTCTATCTCCTTCTTCCCCTCTCCCTGGTCTCTCTCCTTCCCCTCTCCTCCTGGGTTCTCTTCTCCTTCCTTCCTCTCCCTGGTCTCTCTACTTCCTCCCCCTCTCCCTGGTCTCTCTCCTTCCTTCCCCTCTCCCTGGTATCTCTACTTCCTCCCCCTCTCCCTGGTCTCTCTCCTTCCTTCCCCTCTCCCTGGTCTCTCTCCTTCCTTCCCTCTCCCTGGTCTCTCTACTTCCTCCCCCTCTCCCTGGTCTCTCCAGCTGTTGGAAGTATGCATGATTAACCGGCGATCCCTGGCTCCACTGTAAACTGCCCATTATGGCAGCAGTGCCTCTAAATCCCTCCATCTCTCTCTCTGTCTGTCTTTCCCTGCATCCCTCCCTCCCTCCCTCTTCTACTAAACATGGTGGTTAATCCTCCTCCCCCCTGTCGACCTTCTCCCTGGCCCAGGATAAGCTGCTCAAGCTGCGCTGCGGATACTAAGCTCTGCTCCAAGACCCACACCCTGCCTGGATGTCTGGATGTGGACGTGTGTGACACTGTGTGTGTTTGGATGGTCCACTGCAACCACACGACAACTGAGTTCTGTTAAGTGAGTGAAAGAGGAAAAAGAGTAACAACGCTATTATTGGTAGCTACATATGTAGAGACATGCAGCCACGCACGCAAGCATGAACAGTGCAACAGACACACACAGGCTTTAATGCACACACACACACAAACACACATACACACACACACTTCCTCTAAATAGCTGAGTTGGGGTAGCTGATAGCAAGGTGAACGTGTCCTCTCCATTAACCACATTAGCTGGCCAATAAAGCCTACACACTGACCCTTAGCCCCAGGGCCTCAGCGCTAGGCTAATGGTGTAACGGTCCTGAATGACATATCTCTAACAGCTAAGGACACATTTCATAAATGTCACCAGGGAATTCCTGCCCATTCCGCTGGTGACCACATGCTGGGAAAATGGAAAAGTCAATAGTATTCTATAAAGAGAAGGCCAGAGAGCACAGAGAGCGGTGGGAGCTTTTAGGTCAGGACCGTTATGGATATTTCCTATCTGTAATGGGAATGGGCTTTTTACTTTCCCTTCCTTTTGGAAGTGTGGGAAATAGGAAAATCCTATATGTTCAGGATCAGGCCAGCTTTGGGGTAAAAAACAAACAAAATAAATGATGGTTCAAACTAAAGTCCACCACCTCAAATCAACCAATAAAACTCCATTAAAACTTTGTTGTACTTGACACAAACCGGTGTACCTGGCACCTACTACCATACCCCGTTCAAAGGCATTTAAATATTTTGTCTTGCCCATTCACCTTCTGAATGGCACACATGCACAATCCATGTTTCAATTGTCTCAAGGCTTAAAAATCCCTCTTTAACCTGTCTCATCCCCTTCATCTGCACTGATTGAAGTGTATTTAACAAGTGACATCAATAACGGATCATAGCTTTCATTTGGATTCACTTGGTCAGTCTATGTAATGGAAAAAGCAGGTATTCTTAATGTTTTGATTACTCAGTGTATATCTTATGAATAAAAGCCTCCCAGATGCCAAGGTTGCATTATACAGATACACACAACACACACCACACACCCACACACACACACACACACACACCGAGATAGAGAGAGAGAGAGAGAGACAGAGAGAGGCAGATGCATTTGTGTGGTAAAGAATAGTGAGATCTGAGATATGCATAGCTGAAAAGCAGGGCAGTTAACCCAGATGGAGACCGTAGACAGTAGTAAGTGCTTTTTAAATGTTATCTTCCTCACATAAAGAAACTCCTGCACACACAGCGAGAGAGGGAAAAGCAGGTGGGACAGGAAGATAGAAAAAGCAGAGAAGAGGAGAAGAGGAGAGAGAGCGAGGAGAGAGAGAGAGAGAAAGAGAGATCGAGATGAGAGAGCGAGAGATAGGGAGAAAAAAAGAGGGAGAGATAGAGAGAGAGAGAGAGAGAGAGATAGACGAGAGAGGAGAGAGGAGAGAGAGAGGAGAGAGAGAGAGAGAGAGAGAGAGAGAGCGAGAGAGAGAGAAAGAGAGAGAGAGGAGAGAGAGAGAGAGGAGAGAGGGATGGTTAAGAGAGGGTGACTGCACAGAGTGATGGGACAGGCTGGCTAGAGGAAGAGAGCAGGTTAAAGGTCAGTGGAAATGGGCGTGTTTAGCTGCTAGTGTTAGGGATCCTAGAGATTCCATTAGTAGTGGCACACATACAGGAGAGGAGAGTGGCTCAATACATGAATCAGTACAGACGTAGCCGTGGACCGCTAAAAGCCTGCTCTGCTCTGCTCACGTCATAGCCTCAGTCACAGCACAGGCACTATTCAGAATTGGACTGCAGCTACACACGCTGGAGGCTACAGCAAGCACACACATACGTGCACGCAGACACACACAACATGCGAACACATACAGTACCCAGGCCATGTTAACACTGACTACACAGCTGAACTCACACGCCAACCAACACATCCAAGCTGGCTTTGAGACACACCTGAACCTTACACATCATAGTTCATACTACCGTATAAGGAAAGTGTCTCCCAATGTCTCTGATAATGATAGCTGTTTGCTTGCCCAGCCAAGCAAGTATACAGCAGCAGTGAACTGAACCAAGATCTCGTCCATAAAGCACGTTTGGATGGAGCATTACTGTAATGCACTTTTCCTTTACACCCCCTATCGTTCTACTGGTTGGCTACTAGTGGTCTCCCCACGGTCGGACTGAACAGTGGCTATGTCTCCCGAGTGGCGCAGTGGTCTAAGGCACTGCATCGCAGTGCTAGCTGTGCCACTAGAGATCCTGGTTCGAATCCAGGCTCTGTTGTAGCCGGCCGCGACCGGGAGACCCATGGGGCGGCGCACAATTGGCCCAGCGTCGTCCAGGGTAGGGGAGGGATTGGCTGGCAGGGATATAGCTCAGTTGGTAGAGCATGGCGTTTGCAACGCCAGGGTTGTGGGTTCGATTCACACGGGGGGCCAGTATGAAAAATGAAAAATAATGTATGCACTCACTAACTGTAAGTCGCTCTGGATAAGAGCGTCTGCTAAATGACTAAATGTAAATGTAAATGTAAACATTGGTTAGCTAATGAGCTCTGTGTTGTGTTTACTGATGAGCCCAGCACAGCACAGTTCTCCCATAATCAACTAATGAGCCAACCATCCATATCTTTCTCTCTGCACTATCTAAACCCAATGAGTCCCACCATAATGCTGGTGCGTTTTGGACTTCTAACCCGTTTTAACCATTGTGTGTTTGAGCTACAGACGTCTATTCCGTCTGCATTGGTAGATACCACCCATTAGTATGTGTGAATAGCGGGGGCTGAGCTACAGTTGTGTTTGTGAGACAAAGGCAGATCCTGGAGCTGGGTCTTTTTCCAAAAACATCTGTAGTCCGAATGGTTTGAGCTACACACTATTAAAAAAGAACTATCAAAATCTGAGATTTTAACATGTTTTGCTCTATGATGCTCACAAGCTACACAATAGTCGTTAGAAGGTAAGGGGTTCTTCAACATAGAAGTCATAGGAAATCCCAGGACATAGTGTCTATAATACTGTAATAAGCTCACATACAGTAGTTGCTGTCACAAACTCCAAAATGCACACAGTTGTCACTGATTAATTTGATATTCATTTCCCAGTGAGCAAACAATTTCTGTACTTACAGCATCCATCTAAATTCAATTAAATT